CTTCAGACTTTTCTACACAGGGGAATTGCATTCCACTTGAAAATTGAGAAAAAAGAGCCGTTGGCTCGCCTCACCAACAAAAAAGCTAAAGCGACAGCGAGAAGATGTTTGAACACTCGAACTGCTCTATCGGTTACTTGCATGTCATGTTTTTGACATCCGTAGTTGAGTCGTTGAAGCGCTACAACCTACACTGGCTTCTGGTCTTGGATGTGAGAAAATTTTCTGGCTGCAGTTCTATATGCGTGCGGATGCTGAATTATTACCAAGACAGAATCCTTAGCGCTTTCTTCGCAAGATGGTGAAGTTGGCTGCAGTGGTTCAAGCACTTTTTAATTAGGGGATGAGGAAGTTTCCAGAAAATTAAGATCATTATATGAAGAATAACGGGCATCAGTTATGTAAAATCAGATTGTGTTCCTATTGCTCACCACTCCAATGTGCCATTCATGCTTAGTGAAATCTCTGAAAGTTTCTGCATCCACTTCCTGCATTGCCATGAGTAGAAGGGAAAGTAAATACGAAAATTCTACTTTTTAATTACTTGTTTCCTTCCTCATTGGATGCTAATTTCTGAACCATGGATGCATATGTTGACACTATTTCTTCAACGTCAAATTTTTTCAGTGTGGAAATAATGAAAATAACTTACAATGCTATAAATGGGAGGCACCACTAGTTCTCCTTTAGATTTCAATGTTGGCATAACGGAAAACCGTGGTGCCAAGTCCCTTGACCTAAAAGTCCACCTGCAAGATACAGTTGTGGAGTTTCAACATCAAATAGGAGGAAGGTGAACAAAGGAAAACCAAGGGTCTTCTTGCATGATGAACTTTAGCTATTTCAATGAATTCAAAAAACATTCATAACCACATCTGTTCCCATGAAAGGAACATTCACGGAACCAAGAAGGTAAACATACCCGATGTAAACAAAGATGCAGAACTGTGCCCATTCTCGAACTAACAAGCGAATCCAGTAATTTTCTGATGAGTCATCCATGTTATGTATATCTGAGAACCAGAATGTTAGTTCTGTCAACTATTGTCTGTATATATTTATATTTGTATACGTAATTATAATCAATAACATAAAGATATCATACCACAGCCTCAGTCACGGCTACTATCTGCATTGCACCTTGAAACTTTCTGCATCGACATCAGAATACAGCATATGAGGTTCAAAATGTGATATCATCTCTTTTAAGGTCACTGTATGTTAGAACAAGGTTATAAAATGGGAGTATGACTACAAAAATGTGAAACACATACTTGAACATGATGTACTTTGTATAGACTGCATCATGCATTGCATGAACATCTTCGTCATCTATGAAGCTTAATTGGTGGCGCAATACTAAAAGATTTTGCTGAAATATGGTGAAATATCACATAGAATGAGATGAAATAGCTAAGCAGCAGCAAGACCTGAATCAAGGCAGTAACGGAAAATTAGTACGCACTGATAAGTAACTAAAAACGATTAAACAGAAGTAACAGTTCCTGCCTATTTATAATTGTAATGCTTTTTAGCTAGTCAAAGAAGGAAACTTACAGAGAAATAAGGTACAGAAGCTTTGTATCCGACAAGAGTCAAGTAAAAGACACAGCCCAGGGAAGCAGTAGTACGCCGCTCAGTCACTGAAAGGCGCTCACACATGATGCAGTAACCATGGGAGATGAGTAAAAAAGACACAAAAGAAGCTGTCTGAAATATCACACCGGTTACATACATCCCAAACGACATCCACAGGGAGCATATATGAAGATGAAAGCATGAATACCTAAAAGTGATTCTTCAAAATTAGTATGCGTGATGGAGGAAACAACGGTAGAATATTGATAACAAAGAAGACCAAATGTGCTTTACTTCCTCACCGATACACATAACAAAATCATATGATATATACAATTTCGTATAGATCTCTCTAAACTATTGGCCTCAGAACTTTAGGCATTGACAAATATCCTGTTAACTGATAAGTAACATCATATTAGCTTCAGAGCGGATGAAATGTTTTGAAGTTCTTCAAGTGATTTCTTTATCCCCTACATGGAGATTGGAGAAGGGTTCTTCGAAAAAGTGAATAGGGAATTGATTTCAAATTCAAGACATGAATTTATGTCTGTTGGCAGTGGCACAATGAAGAGCATCTACATTTCATTTCCTAAAGATCAACAGACATACCAGAAGAGGAAAGACAATGTAAGTTGCAAGGCTTTAATCAGCGGAACAGAAGCGAGCGTCCACTGCAAATTATTCGTCTGCTCTAGTTTAACAACAAAGCAACACAAACAATTGAATCAAATAAGTAAAATATTATTAACACGCACAAATGAGCCAAATTCATGAAAATTTAAATGTCCGCCTCGTTTGGCTCTCAGGACATGTAGACAAGTAAACAACTTTTGGTGTATATACATACATACATACATACATACATACATACATACATATATACATATAATTTCTCAGCAACCAAACAGAAGAAATAGATTAAACACTGAAACCGATTACCCAAAAGAAAAATAGAAATGCCCATTTGTTCATTTGCCTAGAAACAGAGCCACTGTAACATAAATTAAATTTTGAAACGTGAATCCTTTAACCAAACAGAGCACGGTAGAAAAGCCTTTCAAATTTTCTCCTATAACCCAAATTGTACATCACCAACATTATCAAGTTAAACAAAACCCAGAATACATATTCAAATCAAATTTTTATTTAAAAAAAATGGAAATGGAGAAAAAGGGACCTGGAGATGGCGGTTTTTGTAGGTGTTGAAGGTCCAGAAGCAGGCGGAGACGAACCAGATTGTCAAGAAGGCTAAGTAGACCGACGGCAGAGACCGATGCGACTCGTCGAGTCCGATACGATACGCTCCGACGCTCTCCAATTCCGCCATTCTAGCGAACCGGAAGTTTAATCATGAAAAGCACAAAGCATGGAGCTTTTCCAGTTTGATTTTTCGTTTTTCCGTTATGTTTTCGCTCCCTGCGCTTTAGGCATTTTATACATCCGCTATTGCTGACACATACAAACGCTGCCGTTTTAATATTTGTATTTTAATACTATTTGTTTAAAAAATAGACAAAATTTGGAAATTACTGTAAACTTTGGGCCATTTAGGCCATAAATATGAATGTTTTGGGATCATTTTGTTCTGTGTTGAATGATAAATGTCTCCTTTTTGGGAATTATATTTTTACTTTTACCTTTCTTTTGTTCGATTAGAGGAAACAAAAAAGTTTTAAGTCAAAATTTTTGTCGTGAGTTTGCACTCTTTCTTGGTTGCATTAATCGGATTTTTTTTTCCTTTTAGGTAGGAATTCGAGTTTAGATGAACACTGACTTAACTAATCGGCTTAAGCCACGTATGCAACTACTAATTAATTTATTTTAGATTATTGCACTAAAGTGGAAGAAGATTGAATAGTATAAGAATGTAAAGGTGATGAGCCAGATTCAAGGAAAATGAAGTTGGTGATCCTCTCATAGTCTTTCATACTGTCATACAACAAACCCACTCCCTCAACTAAATCCACCAAAACCAATTATTTTGCTCCATCAAAATCTTCTGCTACTATTTTTAAGGGACGTTGAGGATTTTAGAAGGAGCCTACCCAAAAACGTGGAGAGCACTCTACCAATATTCTTTTTGGATATATTTTTGTTTTAGGTGAACTACGGATTTAGTCTCTAAATTGTCATCTGAGCGAAAATTAAGTTCTTGAATTTATTTTTTTATTGAAAAAATAATAATCCTTAACAACAAAAATCTACCAATTACATCCCTAATATTAGATTCAAAGCTATTTTATTCAATTTTCCGTCAATTTAAGTCACATGACTCGCATGTAATACACTTTGGAAGCTAGGTTGTTGTTTTCCTAAGTTTAAGGACATTTTTTTTTTCCTAAGAAACAGTGTATGGAGTTAACTTTGGATGGTACATTAGACATTAAATTCGCAATCCATATGCAACTTTAAGCGCTTATAGGCGATAAAATAACGGTATTACCCTCTATAATGTGTCATATGACTTAAGTTGACGAAAAATTGAATAAAATAATAGTTTTGAATATAATAGTAGGATGAAATTATCAGCGTTTAATGAATTTTGGGATTGATTTTACCCAAAAAAATATAATTTAGGAACCTTATTTTCACTGGAGTGATAATTCAGAGAGCAAATCGATAGTTCATCCTATTTTTTTTTAATTTCTTACATAATGTATGCATGGCGCTTCAAAGTTCAAACAAACAGAGGAATTAACGACTGTTTTGATTAAACAAAAACAAAAGAGTCATATTTTTGCAGACACATCTTGTATATAATTTATATATATGTTGTTTGATTAATGTCTATTAAATTTCGCTACTCCAATATAAGTATATGATTAACAATTCTAACTAGCAGTTTGACAAAAATAATTATAAGATCGATGTACAATTTGTGCGCTACTTGTCCTGACATTTAGCAACTCGTAAATATGATCAACTATATATGGCCAACCTGCTCGTACAAGCTGGTTTGCTATATGCTTCGGATTATGAGGTTTTAATTTAGTTTGGTCATTTTATGTAAGCATTAGGTGAACAAACTCACAAACACAATTTATTCTCTTATATAAATGGGGTGATCCGTGGCACAACTCCTTTTACACAGTTTTTGACACGATTTTGTGAAGGCCTCTTTGCAATGTATTTTAACAAAGCGCTATTCTTCTTCATTTGTAAGTGAATTCTTCTTCACTTGTAAGTGAGAGGTTTTAGGTCTAATTCTCGCCAAAGGACAAAATTGAACCACATTATTACTAGTACATTGTAAGGCTTAGCCCACTCCTCCGTCCCCTTACTTTACTGTAGATAATATCGTTTGTTCAACCAAAAAAAAGAACAAAAAAATTCTTGGGTGCCAAGAAAATATTAATCCAAAGAAAAAGGTACCAATCAATTAAACCAAAGTCAAAACTAGTATTATAGTGCACAAGAACTAGTAGTTAATAAACAGTTTTCACATATATTGACCAAGAATAACACAATTCAATTTATCATTTGGAAAAATATGTTTACATTTGTAGCCTGTTCTGTTGAATCCCTCTTTCATTGTGTAAATAACCCTCACTCTCCATTTGAAGCGCCAAGTCTTGAAGGATACCATGAATCAACTCCAACCCTGCTTGCATAGTCTCCCCTGCCGAGAACATAAAAACCTTATTCTTCACCTCGATCCAACTCTGGCCCCGGATTTTCTTCAAACCCTTTGTCTTTGCTGAGATCCTCACCTTCGCCGACTCCTCCCATCTCCCGCTAGCAGCATACATGTTTGACAGCAGCATGTAGCTCCCGGTCATGTCAGAGTTCATGCTGAAAATGTCGGTGGCAGTTTCTTCAGCAATGTATCTATTCTTGTGCATCCTACAAGAATTAAGAAGAGCACCCAAAACACAAGCATTGGGTTCCATTGGCATGTTTTTCACAATCTTGCTTCCTTCTAGCAACAACCCAGCACGGCCGAGAAGATCAACCATGCACGCATAGTGCTCCATCTGGGGTTCTATACCATAGACGCTAATCATCTGATCATAAAGACGACAACCCTCCGTGACTAGCCCGCCATGGCTAGCAAGCGGAAAGAACAGAAACAAATGTTACTTTGTCTGGCTTTAATCCCGAGTCAAGCATCTGATAAAAAACTCTTAGAGCATTCTCACCAAGTCCATGCATCCCGTATCCAGCAATCATAGTGTTCCACGTTATCAAGTCCTTACTGTCAATACTCTCAAATACTAGATGCCCTTCCTTAAAACTTCCACACTTCGTGTACATGTTAACCAAGCCATTTCTAACCAAAATACTACCATCTATCAAAGCCCTAACCACATGACAATGAATTTCTCTACCAAGGTTCAATGCTGGTAGTTCGGCACAAACAGACAAAACACTGGATATGGTGACAGAATTGCCAATTATTCCTGCATTCTGCATCCGCCGAAAAAGTTCTAGAGACTCCTCTCCTTGTCCCTGGGAAGAAAGCCCTCCAATAACAGCACTCCAACTTATGATATTAGGTCTCATTAATGGGTGTTCATTCAGCCGAGAAAATATTGCAAAGGCCTCATCGCACAAACCACATTCAGCATAGGCTGAGATCAAAGCATTCCAACTGACCAGGTTCTTGCTTTTCATTCCCAAAAATGATTCGTGAGCATTTTCTACATCACCACACTTTCCGTACATACATATAAGGGCATTTTCCACAAACAAGTAATCTTGGAAACCACCCCTTATAACATATCCATGAATCATCTTACCCTTGTCAACCACAGCCAGATTAGCACATACAGATAACACCACAGAAAGCGATTCAGCTGTAGTTTCAATTCCTACCGCCCTCATTCTACCAAACAACTCCAAGGTTTCTTCATGGCGGCCACAACGAGCATGACTTGACAATAATGACGTCCAAGTCACAGGGTTTGGCACAAACCCTTCTAACTTCATCCTCCTAAACATCTCAGTAGCACCATCACAGTCATAATTAAAGGCATAGCTAGAGACCATAGTATTCCACGAAACATAATTTCTCACACCCATTCTATTAAACAACTGGCGAGCACAATCCATCCGACCAATTTTCCCATACATTCCCAACAAGTCGTTGATAACATGAAGATGATACTGAAAACCCATATGTATAACATGACCATGCACACTCCTGGATAACTTAAGCCTAGATATAAATGCACAGGACCTAATAACCAAAGGAAATGTAAACCCATCTCCCCAAACACCCAGTTTACGCATTTTGCCATATAGTTGGATTGCTTCTTCATAAAACCCATGAGAGACATAAGCTCTAAGGACTGAATTCCACAAGAGCACATTTGATGTACCTTCAACTGTGGTGGTGTCAAAAACTTTCTTTGCATCCAACACGAGGCCAAGACGTGCATAAACAGCTATGAGCCGGGCTGCCAAGAATGCTGACTGACAGGTGCCCGTAGTAACAATTTGGGAATGAACTTGTTTGCACTGTTCAGGTCCAGCACATTGTCGAAGAAGGTGTTCAAAGAAGTCAAGAAATTCATTGTCGGTAGTGCAGGATGGGTGTGATATGATTTGGGTCTGATGAACCTGGCGGTGTTTAGAGAGCAAATGGTTGAGAATTTGTGGGAAATAGAGATGGTAGTGATGGAGATGCTGAGGCGACGCATGAAGCATGAAGAAGAAGTTGAGATTTTGTAAGATGCTGAGACTGATGCTTCTACTTCTTCATCATCTTCATCTAATTTTTGATCATCTTCTACATCCCGTAATGTAACCAGGACCGAATCTGGATGGGAAATCTTTGAGTCCTTAGATGATACTGTGTTAAAGGATCTCCTTGATTTTGACAACTCAATTTTTTTCCTTAGTGAGAATACAGAACAGCAACTTTATTATGATCCTGCAAATTAACAAGAGAAAACCAATATTAAACCAGCCACAAATTTAAACACCCACAAGAAGATCTTTTCTGGGCACCAGTGAAAATTTTACAAACAACAGTGCAAAAGCAGGCACACACCAGTTTATATTTTTAAAATTCAATCGACAATGGACAATAATTCAAGTTTCAAACCGAACTTCAGCTTGCTGGACCCAATAAATAGCTTGAAGGTCTTACAATTCAACGCGAAATGCAGAGAGAAAGAATACCAAGTAATTTAAAGAATCGAAGATAACGATAAAATTCTTTAAAAATCATAGAAACACAACACAAATGACCTCATTACTTTTAAACAAATTTAGCACAAGTATTAACTCTTTTTCAGTCCCAATTCAACCTTCTAGAAGGCCAGGAAATATTTATATTTATCTGTCTCCTATCTTTTGTATATCTAATTAACAAAGCAAAATTGATGAATATTTGAGCAAACGTAAGGGAATGACCTCAATACCAACCTCTCTTTTACGGTCCCCAAAACAGCAGAATCATTGGTACAAAAATATACCTAAAAACTAAGAACTTCATCGTCTGCTCTGCTATATTATTTTCCATTTCCAATATGACAAGAAATACATGTTCCTTGAAAACTGTATTCAACTATACTACAGCACATTCACAGACAAAGGAAGCATATATGATAACTTTCATTAGGAAAATTGTTTTCTTTCCTTCCCTGACATACACCTGAAGCACGGGATACATTACTAGACCAGTGTAAAACATTCACGCAATAACATTCATTAGGGATATTGTTTCAAACACACACATACACAACTTGTACTATAGAACCCAGGATTAAACATTTTGAATTTGTTTAAGCATTCACCAACTCACTAGACAGCAATCATGTATCCAATCCAATCATGTGTACAAAACGAGCCCGAAGTGTGTACAGAAATGGTAACAGAAATCATTTTACAATCGTTAAAGGGAAACCGATATAAGGTTAATCTGTGGGACTCCTGTAATATAGTTGCTTCTGTGATGTTACACAGCAAAGACAAACAATTAGCGGCCGCTTGATAACCGTTCCGCTTCTCAAAGACAAAAATAAGAATTGAGAACACATCAACCAAAAGAACGCAAAAATACAGAAATTAAAATACAAAAACTGAATCATTTAAAGAAATTAGCGAGCATGGACTGACTGTGATAGCAACCACTTAGCAATTTGGAATTTCGAAAAACTGAATCCATTGAATAAAGTTAAGAAATTTAGAAAATATAAAGCTTTAGTAAAAATTAATTAATTTCAGCTTACCAACCAGATTGGATTGGGGGGTTCACCCTTGCCGTTTGGTTGCCGTGAAAACGCAGGAAAATAACACTACAGAGAAGAAGGGAACAGGGGGAAGAAAAAGGATTAGGGATAAAACGGTGCGCGTTCGGTTTCCTTTTGCCGTTTTTTCAACAAGTCTTAATAAAACACACTTGTACCGTTCTCTTTTAACGTTAAAGACATTTTAACTCTAAAAAGTCACTATTTACTTACCGTATATTTTTATCATTTTGATTAAAACTCAAAGTTTTCAAACCATTTTCATTAATTTTCTTGTTTTTTTTTTCTTTGTTTTTTTACCTCTCACATCAGTACTTTTTATTCCTTTATCTCTTTCCTTTTGCCCCAAATTGAAATTTATGCAAATGATAACCATTTCTAGAATTTGCTTTTCGAACCCACCCATACATTTGATCACAATCATTGGACTACAAATAAAAATTAAAAAAAAATTAAAAATGTTTGATATATGACGGTTCGATCAACCAATGGTCATATTATTTGGACTGTTGATCATCCAAAGGGTTTTTGGCTCTATTCAAGAGTGGCCTACAAGCCTAACCGCATTGGCCTCGCCATGCTCCCCTCTAGCATGTGGTGTGCGTCCCGCGAGTGAATGTGTTGTGTTTGGGGTCAAGCCCGCAAGCTCACGCATATTGGCGGACCCAAGTGAATTAAGCCAGGCCTAATTCTTTGGTGGAATCTGGCCTAAAATGGCTTGGGTGGGCTTAAAGAAGTAAATTTAAGTTTTAAACCAAGGATGCCGCTTAATACTACGATCTAGTAATATTTCTCTTTACTTGTTAGTGAGAGGTCTTATGTTCGATTCTCGTCAAAAGTGAATTTGAACCACATTATTGTTGGTCTATTGTGAGACTAAGCCCACTCCCTCCCTCTTAATGTATATAATATCGTTTGTTCAAAAAAAAAAATAGATTTAAGCCAAGGGTTGGACATAGGTTAACGTGAGGGTGAGCGATCGCTTTTATAGGACAAGGGTTCTCCTCCCCTTTTACATATTTCATGGGCTAAATGGTGACCCAATCTATGTTAGAACAAGTTCTCTCTCTCGTACCTGCCAGTTAGCTTAACAGGTTATGATTGGACTTCCGTTAGTTGAGCGCATTTTTATTTACCATCTTAAAGTAATGTTAATGTTTGTCACTCTATTAATTATGGTTAGATAATTTAAATTTTGAGATTTGTGTATTAGATAAATTAAATCAAAATTATCCAACAACAATAAAAAATTGATAACCATCACTATCACTTTAAAATAGTAAGCATAAATATTTCCCCGTTAATTATGTTGCGTATATATACGTACACTGGATTTTTTAGAAAAGTTACATGAGTACTTGTCTCATGGGCTAACTTGCTGTACTCAGCAGAGGCAATGCTTGGCCCACTACTCAACCATGCTTAAACTAAACTAGTGATTTCTATTAATTTTTTTTAGGGTTAATGACAAAAAACTACCTTAAGTTTGGGTCAAATGACACTTTCATACCTCATCTTTTAAAATTGACAATGTCATACCTCATCTTACGAATTTGTGTCAATGTTATACCTTCCGTTAGCTTGGCCGTTTATTTCTCAGTTAAATGCTGACGTGGCTTGATCTGGGACCCATTTTTATTAAAAAATTAATAAAAAAATTATTAAAAACAAAAAAAATCATTTAATATTATTTAAATATTAAAATAATAATAAAAAATTATTTAAAAAAACCATTTTTTTTTTCTTCCCTCTTCTTCTTCTTCCCTCTTCTTTTCCCTCTTCTTCTTCTTCTTCGTCTTCTGCAGGGGACGAACTGGATTTTTTTTTTTTCTTCTCTCTTCTTCTTCTTCCCTCTTCTTCTTCTTCTTCTTCTGCAGGGGAACGAACTAGGATTTTTTTTTTTTCTTCTCTCTTCTTCTTCTTCCCTCTTCTTCTTCTTCTGCAGGGGAAGGGAACGAACTGGGTTTTTTTTTTTTTTTTCTTCTTCTTCTTCTCTCTTCTTCTTCTTCCCTCTTCTTCCTCTTCTTCTTCTTCTTCTTCTTCTTCTTCTGCACGGGACAAACTAGTTTTTTTTTTTCTTCTTCTTCTCTCTTCTTCTTCTTCCCTCTTCTTCCCTCTTCTTCTTCTTCTTCTTCTTCTTCTTCTTCTTCTTCTTCTGCACGGGGACAAACTGGTTTTCTTTTTTTTTTTTTTTTTCTCTTCTTCTTCTCTCTCTTCTTCTTCCCTCTTCTTCCCTCTTCTTCTTCTTCTTCTTCTTCTTCTTCTTCTTTTGCATTGGGACAAACTGGGTTTTTTTTTTTTTTTTTTCTTTTTCTTCTCTCTTCTTCTTCTTCTTCTTCTTCTTCTTCTTCTTCTTCTTCTGCACGGGGACAAACTGGGGTTTTTTTTTTTTTCCTTCTTCTTCTCTCTTCTTCTTCTTCCCTCTTCTTCCCTCTTCTTCTTCTTCTTCTTCTTCTTCTTCTTCTCTGCACGGGGACAAACTGGGTTTTTTTTTTTTCTTTTTTTTTTTCTTCTCTCTTCTTCTTCTTCTTCTGCGGGTTAGGTTGGGGGGGGGGGGGGATTGGGTGGGAGGGGACGGTTTGCTGGTGTTTTTTTTTTTTTTTTTTTTTGTTTCCCTTCTCTCTTCTTCTTCTTCTGGGTTTCCCATTGGTTTTTTTTTTTTTTTTTTTTTTTTTTTTTTTGGTGTTTCCTTCTTCTTCCTCCTCCTTTCTAGGTTGCAGGGGTTGAGTTTGTGGTGGGAGGAGGGGGGATGAACTGGGTTTGGTTTGGTTTGGGGTTTTTTTTTTTTTTTTCTCTCTTCTTCTTCTTCTTCTTCTTTCTCCTTCTTCTTTTCTGGGTTGCTGGGTTGCAGGAAGATGATGGGGAAGAGAGAGGGGGGAGATGCACGAAAGGAGAGGGGAGAGGGAAGATAGATGATGACTAATGTTTTTTATTTTTTTTATGTACTTTTTTATTATTATTTTAATATTTAAATAATATTAAATGATTTTTTTTGTTTTTAATAATTTTTTTATTAATTTTTTAATAAAAATGGGTCTCGGATCAAGCCACGTCAGCATTTAACTGAGAAATAAACGGCCAAATTAACGGAAGGTATACCATTGACACAAATTCATAAGATGAGGTATGACATTGTCAATTTTAAAAGATAAGGTATGAAAGTGTCATTTGACCCATACTTGAGGTAGTTTTTTGTAATTAACCCCTTTTTTTAGGAATTGTCATTGACACTCTAAAAATCTTATTATACACTTCAAACTTTCTATATTTGAAAAAAAAAAATACACTTGTGAGGAATGTGGAATAAGATTTTTGAAGTGTCAATAACACTTCCTAATTTTTTTTAGTAGAGCTATGTAGTTGATAATGGGAGAGCAATCTGTTAGAGTTGAACTCGTAGCACAATAGGTATACATAATTGTTTTTTATCACTGTTGTCGAGCACATGTATGAGAATATCCGATCTAACAAACGTTGAGAAAATTGGCATTAAATTCAAATGGTTTTTTTTCTTTTCTTTTTCTTCTTTGGTCGGAAAGAGAACTTTAAAAATCCCAGTGGCTTTGCATATTTCTCTTTTTAATTACTTATTTTGTATGCATATTTCTATATATCCAATTGCTATAGTTAGTTGGCACGTCCGGTGCACTTGCGAATTTAAAAAACTTGTGTAGGAATGTAAGAATAACCTAGAGATGAACGTTAAGTGTATTGACCAATTCAAACTTTGCCCATTTGCCAACAAATATTTAATTTTTACGACTAAAATGACCTAAAAGTTCCCTTTCGAAACAACTAATGTGGCACGAATCTCCTTGGTGGAGTGATATCTTCAAACATGCTATGAAAACTAAAGCCAATTAAAGACGACTGACTCTAATGGAAAACAATTTTCTAGTTTCTAAGAGTGTACCACGTGAAAAAGAATTAGGGATCTCTTAGTTTAATGTGATATTACAGTTATGGACGACTGACTCTAATGGAAAACAATTTGTTTTCCATCAAATTAATAATCAACTGTGTGTTATACTATTGGTTTATCATCCACCAACCTTGTCTAAAGGCAAACACATGTTAAGTCATCTGGCTCACGTCAATGTATACCACTGGCCTTTCTTTACTGACCGTCTGCATAGAATAAGTTCTAAAAGACACTAGGGACTAGTTGGGCAGCAAGTTTGAGCTTAGGCGGACTAGTTGGATTGAAGTAAATTTATTATATAGTGTATCAATAAGTGTCTATTTATACTTTAGAAAACTCATAATTGTATTGTGATACATACATTGCATAATAAATTGACATATATATTATAAAATATTAAAACATATTGAAAACATGGGGAACAAGCATATAATGAGTGTTTATCCAAGTATTCAACAAGTCTATTACATTTTATTGAAAAAGTAAAATGCAAAATAAAAGTTATCGATTTTCTATCTAAGTGGGAGTTGCGACTGAGGCGGGTGCCTAGACGGGTTCAAGTGGGCTAGGCGGACGCTTAAGCGGGTCTAGGCGTCTTTTCTTAATTTTCAAACGCCTAAGGACTAATTGAGGCAGTGGTCTAGGCGCTAGGCGGAGATTTTTAGAACGGTAGCATAGAAACATGTTATTGATAAGCAGAAAGGGATTCTCTCAAGATCCCTTCCACCTAATCCTCCTCATCAAATAATCTGGGCCCTTGAAATTTAATCCAACGGCTGAAGTTATTCTAACTTTTAAAGTGGACCCCTGTATTTATCCGTTGAATCAAATTTTAAGGGCCCATATTATTTGATAAGGAGAATTAGGTGGAAGAGATCCGAAGAGGATCACTTTCCATAATCTTCCTAACACGTCAGTATACATGTCAACTTGCAATCTACGCTTGTAGGTGTGCAGAATTGTCCTCATACATGTAAAGAGCACTATGTTGTAGGTGTGTAGGAGTGTTCTCATGCGTAAAATATGTCAAAAATAGATATGGAAGTTGAAACAAATTTATAAAACCAAAAGGGAAGAAAGAGGAGTTGGGGAGTGCAAAGAAAAAAGGAGTGAGACAAAAAGGAGAGCGATCGTGATATAGTTGAGGCAGTCGATCAATATACAGTGATCATCAATGTATATAATTACAACAC